CGGACACACACACACACACACACACACACTCACACACACATACATATATACGAACGCCTCTGAAAACATAACCCTCTTGGCGAAGATAATAATTGTGCTGCTCGTAACATCGATGCTGCAATACAGACACTATCGCAGAGTGGCGCAGCTAAACAGGGGATGTGTGATCGTGCATTCGTTAGCCTTGTTAGCTTTGGTCCGCTTGTCAAAATCAGTTTGTTGCCATAGTAGCGGGGCCAGCTCTCACATTATGATACGCCAAAAAGCAGTTACTCAAGCAACTGGATATGGTTTTGGAAACGGTCAGATGTTTCAGCTAGTATCCACTACCTTTCGTCAGTGACTGGGGGGGGGGGGCTACTGGTGGATCTCTCCAGGATTTGGCACTCCCAGCCCCGAGAACAGACAACACTTAAAGCTCTTGTTCTGCAAGAGCTTTCTGACTAATTTGCATTATCTTGTCTTGACCTGTCTGACATTTGTTCCCTTTTCGACTTTCCAAAAAAAAAAAATAAATAGAAAAATAAAAAAAGTCAATGACGAAAGCTACAATGTAGTGGATACTAGCTGAAACAAATGACCATTTACAAAATCATATCCAGTTGCTTGAGTAACTGCTTTTTGGCGTATTGTATTACCTGGATGTCTAACCTTCATCGAGGTAGCTACATTATGGGTAGCAAGAATGGCGAACAACCACAAATAAATGGTGGTGAACTGAGCTGTCAAAAATCACCTACTTGAGTGTTCAACTATTGTAAACTCATATTGAAAGGGTAGCCCAACTTCCAAATTGTCCATTTAGTCTAAAAATGTCACATTTTGGCCAGCGAAAATAAGTACGATCCATGGAAACACTGAGATCATGACCTCTACCCCCCCCCCTCGTACACCACCAAAAACAAAACAATGGCATTGCTTTTAGAGCTCTACCAGGCAGCCAAAACAAGTCTATGAGCGTTAGGTTTTCACCAAAATAGAAAAAAAAACTCTCGAGCTGGAAAAATCACAATTGATAGCGTTTGACGCAGTCATTAGCGTGAAATTGTGTTTCTGCGTAAACAGGTGTTTACACAGGTGAGAGATCACGTGGACATGGAGTGATCTCCAGGTGTGGTGGGAGGTATATTAGGGACATGAGGAGTAGTCTGTCATTCGACGTGTTGCCTCGACTCCGGACTTCGCAAGTTTTTTGAGGGGCAGTTAAGGGTTTGTCAAGATCAGGACTTTGTGTTCATTGAATTGATTGTGTTTAGATTGTGCAGGAAGGTTGCTGTACTAATGTGAATGTGGAACTAGAATTTGCCTGTTTTTCTTTTTAAGTCTTTTTATTCAGGCAATCCATCTCATCCAGCAGCCAAGAATGGAGTGGAAAGAAGATATCCATGTAATTCAGCGTGAATCATGCCAAGGAGAACAAAACGTCATAAAAATTGAACACTGCAAATGACGTCTTTGTTCTTTATGGTCAATGTTTTGTATTTATAATCAATTCATTTATAATGAATAATAGAAACTGTTTATAAGTTTCTTTCCTTGATTGGCCATGGTGATATTTACTTAGCATAATTTGATTAGATAAGAAATGGAATTGTTTGATCTTTGTATGTTTGTACTTTGTACTTAGAAACCCCAGAGAACGGTTTGTTGTTCTGCATAAGGCTCTGGTGCACGTCCCCCATTTTTTTGGCTTCAATGTATGGAATGATTTTTTAGGAGTTGCGTGGATGGCAGACAACACAACTAGTTTAGTTGTAAAATATTGGAGTAATTTTGATTACGGGGTAAAAATGTTTTTCCTGTATGCTTTCAGTTATAGCTACTAGTTTATATATGAGAAACTTAAATTATTGCATTTGACTGTGACATTATATCATTCATTGGAACGAGTTTACAGTACTTTTTTCTGTTTCGGACTTATATTCAGGCCGCCTTTTTGACACACTTGAGTTCGTCAACAATTGACGTTGAGTTTACAGCACATTCTGTACACGTTTCCATTTCGGTCCAAGTTTCGGTCCATTCTGACCATACCCCGTTCGTTCTTGTACTTTCTTCCAATAAAGTCGCTCACTTGCGGTGTCCAGGCACACGGTCACCCTACCCTACATGAGTAGTGTGTGTATTCATTGTGATGCATGGGTTCGCATCGGGTGAATGAGAGGTAAACTGTGATGCAGAAATTGCAGCATTCATCCACACATACCAAACAAGTGCTTTCTGAAAAAAGGTGCCATTTTCGCCTCTATAAAAAGGATTATTTACTGGCGGTTATAATGAGATGTGATCTATAAATGATGTGTTGTGAGATGTAAAATGGATAAGAAAGTAGAGCGTAGAGATGTTTTTCTTGTGCCAGGGGAAGGGAGATTGCTGTGTGATGTTGCAGATGTTCTGTGTATGTGGAATTTGAACATTACAGCTGCAGTCTAGCATTTTCCCTATCCTAGCTTTTCAATATACCTAAGTTATATAAATGTTTCTAGTTCTCATTAATATTGTATATGATAGAACATGCACTTCTATATTTCTAACTCTAGAATATAACAGTTAATAACCTGTTTTCTCACTTTTAAGAGTATTATTAACAGAATAAGTATTTTAACTTAAGTAAATAATTTTATTCAAAATCTCTTTCATGGTTTTGTCCCCAACATGCAAGTTTATAAACCTTGTGACATTCAACCCTAAAATAATACTCGAAGAGAACTTCAAAAGTAATCATATATAATTTTTACATTTATCATCTGATCAACCTGATCCATTAAAAATTGTCAATGGAAAATACCTTGCCAAACAATGCAATACCTATTTAAGTTATTAAAAAATAAACACTCATAAATTACCTAAAATACAAAAGACATGTTGGTGATGGTTAGACACCCAGGTAATATCAATATAGTTTGTGCATCTAAACCTGCCTTTCTCCTGCAAGTCTCTTTTGTCACCCACAAAATGATGCTACCTGAAACATCTGGCCATTTCCAAAATCATATCCAGTTGTTTGAGTAACTATTTTGGGGGTATACGAAAGGCAGTATTTGGAAAGATTCCAAATACTCCAATCTAGCTTGCAATGGCTTGCTGGGTCCATTTACAGAGTCTGCTTATTTTATTAACAAACATCTAATGCATTTTCAAGCATGATTGGTAAAAATCATAATGGATTGTCCAGTTTGGTGGCCATGCAATTATATGTACCAATAATTGTAAATCAGTGAATGGAACAATTTTGCACCTACATCAGTTTGTGATATCAAATAAGATAGTCAATATAAAAATATCATAATATACATATGTATAAAAATAATTTTACTTTCAGATGAGATAAGAAATCTTTGTACACAGTCTTTATCCAATCATTTTGTCCACCTCAGTCTTGAAGTAGCTGGTACATGTACCGTATCCACATTTCCTTGTAGGTAAACGAAGTTCTTGCAACTGCCGTACCCATAGGTCCATGAGTCCATGTTGACTTCCATGCAGGTGCGACAACACAGGCCTGAAATAGTTCACTTACCTCAGTAGCCTGACGTTTAGCCAGCAGTCACAGATTTCCACCTTTCGTGCACAGTTCTGCACTTCAAGGAGGTGCTTGTCAAGTAGGCTGTATACAACAAAATCAGTGTCAGGTATACACAAATAAGTATGTGCTATGTTATTAAACATATAAGAATTATAAAGTTTAGACATAATAGATTAGTTCACATGTCGATATCGGTAAATTTATGTTAATATGGGTGTACCTGTTTTTCAATATTTGCACTTAAAAATATTTTGAATGTGCAATTTTGCACCCAGAGCAGGAGGAGGAAGGGCATGTTGCTGGCAAAGAAGCAAAAATTAACCATACTTTATTTTTACATGGGTAGCAGTATATTTTACTCAACATATCCTGCACTTACCATGGGAATGGAAACAAATATGCAAAATAAAAATAATTTAGTGCTCTCACTCTCAGACTGTTGGTAAATTTTCTTCATGTGCATAACCAAGAACACCAAGGTGGTCCGTATCATCGAGTCGCTCCTGACAAATCGCCGATTCTTTGTTGAAATGGACGGAAAACGCAGTAGGTGGAGAACACAGAAGAATGGCCTACCCCAGGGTTCAGTGTTAGCTCCGATGCTCTTCAACATATATACCAATGACCAGCCGACTTTCAACAACATCCGGAGGTTCATCTACGCAGATGACCTCTGCCTGGCAACCCAGTCGAAAAGCTTTAAAGTCATTGAGAAGCGACTTGAAGACGCCCTGGAGTCCTTATCAGGGTACTACAGAACGTGGTTCCTGAACGCCAACCCGGGGAAGACCCAGGTCTGCGCATTCCACCTCAATAACCATGCAGCA